CAGTCTAGAACACACTCTAAGACTGTCTCATAAAAGCAAATAAGGCTTCAAGTGGTCTTGTCTCCTGTTCTGTAGGTGGCACTGGATCCCTCAGAAGCCATACCTCAAGTTCAACTTGGAGTGTTGCTATTGTAGCTGGCATCTGTCCAGGCATAAAGGGACATACCACTGTGGGCCTCAAGAGTTTCAGGGCCCAACACCCACTGTGAGGCTTGCCTCACTCACCCGCAGTCCATGTTTCCTGGAGCTCCAGCCTTCATCCTTGATATAGCTCAGGTGGTAAAGGTCTGCCTAGTGTGCAGCAGGCCCTGGCTTCAGCCTGTGGTCAAGTAAACTGCAACTGGTGCTTCTCAGGAGGTGGAGGCAGGAGGAGCAGAAATTCAAGGTAGTTCTTGGCTCAGTTACATATCTTGAGGCCAGCCTGGGCTACATGAGACTCTTCCTTCCCAAATGTAAACTTGCAATTTTCAAAAATCCCATCTATGGTAAAAGGGCATCTTTCTAGCCCACACTCCCTAGAGTTTATCTTTTCTTTCCGTTTCTTTTTTTGCTATAAAGTCTCACTGTGTAGCCTGGCTGGCCTGGACCTCCCTATGTAGACCACGCTGCCTCCTCTACCTCCTGAGTGTTGGGGTTAAGGAATGCACCACATGACTTTTTTTTTTTTTTTTTTTTTTTTATCTTAATCAGACTGTATTTTCACCCACGGTACCTCGGGAGCGACTCTATAATCTAAATGGAGGAAAAGGACGTTTAAGTGTGACTGTTTAAAAGACGCCTACACCCACCTAATGCAGCATGCCTTATACTTTACCCAGGTGCCTTTCTATTAACCCAGTGGTTCACATCTGTTTCATAAGGTCTGTGGCTGTAGCCGAGTGGGCAGTGTTTACCCAGCATGCACAAAGCGGTGGCTTCCATCCCCAGCCCTGCACAAACTGGGTAATCCCAACACTCAAAATACAGAGACAGGAGGATCAGAATTCAAAGTCATTCTCAGGTATATAGTGAGTTCAAAGCCAGCCTGGGATACAGGAGACTCTGCCTCAAAAATGAAACAAAACAAAACAAAAAGCAAGAAAGAAAAGAAAGAAGGAAAGAAGGGAAAGAAGAAAGGAAGAATGGAAGAAAGAGAAAGAAAGAAAAAAGATTTATGTTCAAAATGTCATCGGGGGGGTGGGGGGCTGGAGGGATGGCTCAGCAGTTAAGAGCATTGCCTGCTCTTCCAAAGGCCCTGAGTTCAATTCCCGGCAACCACATGGTGGCTCACAGCCATCTGTAATGGGGTTTGGTGCCCTCTTCTGGCCTGCAGGCATACACACAGACAGAATATTGTATACATAACAAATAAATATTTTAAAAAAAATGTCATCAGGATCAGGGCTGGGAAGTGGTGGCACATGCCTTTAATTCTAGCACTTGGGGGAAGCGGGCGGGTATCTATGAGTTCAAATCCAGCCTGGTCTACACAGCTACACAGTAAACTCTAGCTGGAGCTACTAGTGAGACCCTGTATCAAAAAAAAAAAAAAAAAAAAAAAAAAAAAAAAAAGCCAGATTCGCAGATTCTTCTCTCTCAGGATCACTCCCACACTAGGGAGTGCTTTCTTAATTTTACTTAATAAATCTGTTTGCTCTGTTTAATAAAACAGACTTTGTGGCCTGGGAGATGTCTTGGCAGTTAAGAGCGTTGCTTTTGCAGGAGACTGGAGTTCCAAGCACTCGTGGCTCACCATTGCCTACAGCTGCAATTCCAGGGGATCACCTCCCTCTGGCTTCTCCAGACGCTCAAATGCACTTGTATAACCCACACCCACAGACATTAATCTTTAAACATTTTTGTTAGGTGTGATGGTGCACCCCTTTAATTCTAGTGCACAAGAGGCAGAGGCAGGTGAATCTCTGACTTTGAAGCCAGTGTGGTCTACATCAAGTAGTTCCAGGACAGCTAGGTCTACATCATGAGATCCTGTCCCCAAAATGACAGTTTTTGAATTATCTCAAATTCTGCTTCATATTGGTTCAATCTGATATTCTATTTTTGGTGGTCAAGGATGAGGTTTTGCATGATTGGAAATCCCTCACCAACTAAGAGGACACCCTCAGGCTGCTTCACCGAGGCTAGGCTGACATTGCCACCCACCTGAGTGTGCAGCAGGTACCTGTAGACAGGAAGGAGGTCTCGACTCTGAGATAATCCAGACCTGTAGCTCTGCCACCATCCTGTGTGACCACAACCATGTGTTCTAGGCTTCTTCTCCTACTGGGCTAATTTCGCTGCTTGAGCCTGGAGCTAGCCCACTTCCCTTCTAGCCACGCTCTTGCCTGCCTGTCCTACCGTCTCTGTGCTGGTATTTACCACCTCTGGCTGAGGCTGGAGCAGAGCTTGGGACCTCTTCCTCCAGCAGCCTCAGAGCACTGCTTGCCCTGGGGAAGAGAGGTTGACTGTAGGGCATGATTGGTTCTGCCTCTCTGCAGCCCCCAGCTGGCAAGCAGGGCAAACTAATGTCTGCAAGCCTGGTCGGGCCTTGGATGGGAATGGGAAGTGAGTTGAGGGGATAGAGGTTTGAGGGCAGGGAAGGATAGCTTTCACTTAGGCTGAAGGAACAGGGGTCAAGGTGTTTCCTGGAAGAGTTGGAAGTCTATGTAGCCCAGAATCCCTGCTTCATCCTCCCTATGGCTGGGATTAAAAGCGTCCACCAAGGCACCAGGTGGATACTGTTTCTTCTTCAGTGCTGGCGTGGAGCTGAGCTTTCGAGATACGTCCTCTACCACTGAGCTACATCCCCAACCCCATGCCAGTTCTTTTGTACCTGGGGTATGTGGGTATGGGCACGCATTTGTGGGCATCTTCACCAGTGTGGGCACTTGAGGCCAGAGGTTGATGTGTAGATATCTTCAATTGCTCTTCACCTTAGTTTTTAAAACAGGTTCTCTCACTGAACCTAGAGCTCACAGTTTGGGTTAGACCGGCCAGCGGGCTAGTTCTAGGAATCCACCACCCAAGACTGGGTTACAGGGCTGAGAGGTCACACTTGTTTTTTTATGGAAGTGCAGGAGGTTCCAAAGTCAGGTCCTCAGGCTTGGCCAGCAAGCACTTTACCCACTGAGCCCTCTCCCCAGCTCTCAGCACGTTTTTTCTTTTTTGTTTTTCTGAGGCAGGGTTTCTCTGTGTGTAGCCCCGGCTGTCCTGGAACTCACTACATAGTCCAGGCTGGCCTTGAACTCACAGAGATCCACCTGCCTCTGCCTCTGGGGATCAAAGGCATGCGACACCATCACCCAGCTAGCAATTTTTATTTATCCATTTCCTCACTGTTCTAAGCAGCCTGGGACAGGGTCATGTAGATTTTTGTTTGACAAACATTTATTGAGTGGCAGGCCTGCACGTGTCCCCTGCACAGATCTTCATGGCAAGGCTTTGACCCCAGCCTGGGGCCAGGTACAGACTCAGCCACACGGGCCATGATTTGGCAAATGGGGGAGGACTGGGATCCCATAGGCCCTAGGGGAGCTTGTGGAATATATGTGGCTGGAGGCTATCCACATAGACAAATTATAGTTCAGGCTGGAGTGAAAACCCTGCACCCCTGCCCCCCACCAGGCAGGTCATGCTTTGGGACCCAGAGGAGTTCATTCTCTGAAATTCCAGCTCAGAGCCCCAAGGGAGGTAGATTTGCAGGGACTAAGTGGTAAAGGCTGTTTACAAAGCAGGTAAAATGGGAGCCTCCAGGCAAGCTCTGGTTCCACTCCGGCCTAGCTCCAGGTCACCTGTACACTGGTTTCAGGTCATGGAGAAGCCCAGGGAACAGAGATCTAGGGGCAGCAAGTCAACAAGGGTAGTTGGTGTGGGAAGCTGGAGTCCAGCTCTATTGTTGTGTGCTATAGATTCCTCTGCATCCCTGGAGCCCATCAGTAAAGCCAGTGGCTGTGGGGTACAGGATGACCTGACAATTCTGACAGCCTTGCTGCCAGGGAACCAGGGTGCGTGGCATTGGCAACTCTAGCCAGTGAGCCACCCTAGGTAGGAAGGCCGGAGAAACCAGGAACACACAAACCTATACATACTGAGCCAGTACCTATTACACCCATTTCTGGATCTGGAGTGGAGGGATCGAGCCTAAGAGCACACATCTGTCTGTACTTGGGAGGTGCCACTACAAGTAAAATGCCGGGTATGGCTGGAGCCCAAAGTCCCAGGTCCCATCAGATTCTAGCTGTGTCGGAAGCCTAGATGCCACCTGGGCACCTGGCTCCTTGGCTGTGAACTCAATTTCCTAATCCAGATCAGGTATTTCCATCTTCAGTCAAGACATACTGGCTTGTCTGCTTGGGTTTCAAACAGCCACTTGGATGCTTGAATGTGCCGTCTTCAGACTACCCTCTCTGGAGGGGTGGACTTGGGGTCAGAAAATCATCTCACCCCACCCCCAGTCCTGGAGATGGAACTCAGGGCCACTTGTATGCTAGGCTGGCACTCTACCACTGAGCCATACCCCCAGCCCTGGAAATGGTCATGTACACCAGGCCGACCTCAGATCTACCTAACTGCCGTGCCTCCCAAGTGTTAAAAGTTGGTACTACCAAACTCAACTTTTATTTTTAGAGACAAGGTCTCACTGTGCAGACTTGGATGTCCTGGAACTATGTATGTAGATGAGGCAGGCTTTAAATTCAGGGATCCACTGCCTCTGCCTCCCAAGTATTGAGATTAAAGGCATGTGCCACCATGCCCAGCTTATTTTTATTCAAAAACAGAGAAACAAAACCCAAACTTTACAGACAATCTCACTAGCTTACCCTGGCTAGCCCCTTGTTGTACCCACCTCTGGGTTGGGCAACATCCTACTGCTTCTTTTCTACCCACTTCCTGTATCAGGTCCTCACCGCTGACCCCTGAGCACAGGCTGTGTGTAGACTCGATGGGATCCCTTTGTCACCGCCCCCATTCCTGTTCAAGTCACAACCCACCCGGACGACAACAGAAGAGCAATGCACCACTGGCAGGCTGGAGGCTGGTTTTATACAAAGGTAACTCACAGGGCAGACCACTGCACGCTGCTGCAGGTCATGGCAGAAGTCAGGACAGGGACGGCTGGAGGGGGAAGACGGGTTACAGACTGTCCAGTACAAGGACACACCAGACAGGAGCAAGGACTCACAGGCACTCAGCAGGATGGGATGGTAGGACCGGCAAGTCCCTAGCAGCCAATGACAATTGTACTTTCTCATGCTCGGGACACTGGATTAGGAACCCAGAAACCTAGCAGTGGCTGTGGCGCCTCAAGACTCCAGGGGACCCCAGAATGCCTTACTTCTCATGCAGCCCAGTGGCTGGCTTCAGACCCACTGTGTAGCTGGGGATGACCTTCAACGTCTGATCCTGCCTTGACCGTAGTTAGCTTACAGGCAAGTCCTTCTAGGCTGTTTTATTTCCTGTGTCTGAAAGCTGGGTCAGTAAACTTTACTTTCTAGAGCTGCCCTGAGGGGAAACGACACAGATATATAGGGACATTTATCAAAGTACTCAACAGAGCTGGCACACAGAGGTATTTCATAAATAATCTTTTTGGGGGGAGGAGGGAGCTGAGGACTATGCTAGGTAAGCAGTCTACCAAAGTGCCCCAGTTCCAGCCATTTTTATTAATTTTGAGACAGTTTTGTTACACATAGCCTAGGCTGGCCTTGAACTTGTTCTGGAGCCCAGACAGACCTTGACCTTTGGATCTATTGACTTCACCTCCCAAGCAGCTGGGGTGACGGACCAGCAAGTCCTTCAACACATAATCCTTAAGCAATTCCTCGCTCAGACAGGACAGACCTTGACCTTTGGATCTATTGACTTCAACCTCCCAAGCAGCTGGGATGACAGACCAGCATGTCCTTCAACACATAATCCTTAAGCAATTCCTCGCTCAGACAGGGCCTTTCTCTGACCAACGTGTAGGAGCCTTCTCTGCAGACTGGCTAGGGCATGGCAACCTTGGAAGACTCCTTGGAGCCTGTAGCCCCTGGGGTGCCTAGGGCCCCAGAATACACAGTGCCAGGACAGCTGATAGGGGAGGGAGGCTGTACCCCCTGGGAGGTCCCTGCAGAAGCGGGGTACACACTGGAGGCAATGGAGTTAGGACCAAAGTGGTTCTGCACATAACACAGGCCTGAAGCAGGCTGGTAGGGAGGGAGGCTAGGCATGTGTCCAGGAGGCCAGGAGGTCAGTTTCTGGCCATTCGCATGCTGCATCTGGGTGATAGCGTGACTTGGGGTTAGATGAGGGTTGCAACTCTGCGTGGGGTAGGAGCCAGGTGCAGGGTTCAGCCTGGAAAGGAATGAGAGAGGAGACAGTCATTCTGTTGGCAGAGACAAGGTACAGCATGTCATTTCCTGAGATAAGAGCAGGGATGGAGTCGTAGCCAGCACTAAGTTTCAGGGGAAGAGAAAGATCCACTTGGAGGGGAAGGGGGCAGAGCTCCGTGTAGCTCAGGCTTCCTCAATGTAGACATTTGGGTTACAGGCAGGAGCCACCCCCCCCCCCCACTGTAGTGCTCAGGATTAAATCTAGGGGTTCATGTGGACTAGGTAAGACTATACACGTGGAAACACAGTCTGGGAACGGAGCTGCACGAGCGTTCTGAGTGCCTGGGAGAAACTGAGGAAAGAAGAGCCTTGTGCCCTCAGTGTCTTCCAAACAGTTGCTCTTGGAATGTGTTTGCACACTCCTCCCAGATGCAGCAGCTATGAGTGAGCTCACTTCAGCTGTTGTTACTCACGTGCTTCCATACTGTGGGCGGCTTGTCCTCGTGACCGACGAACACCTTACTCACGTGTCGCGTCCTAACCCTAGGGTATAAACTGCCTGCTGCTCTCATATTGCGCAAGACTTTAGTCCGCCTCATTTTTAGGTCCCATGCCACCAACTAGATCAGTAAACACACACACAAATGAAAAATTTTGAAAATACAGGGCTGGGCTGGGCTGTGGCTCAGTGGAGCACCTGCTTAGGATGTGCCAAGCAAGCCCTGATTCCAGCCCCAGCTCACGACTCCACTCCTGCTTCTGGGAGCATTTTCCTTTTTTTCTTTTGAGACAGGATCTCACCAAGGTCTTGGCCAGCCTAGAACTCTCAATGTAGAGCAGGCTGGCCTCAAACTCACAGGGTTCTGCTTGCTTCTGTCTCCCTAGTGCTGGGAATTAAAGATGTGCAGTACATTACCTTCTTGTTAAAATGATTTCCCATTTATATGTGTGTGTGTGGTAGGTATGTGTGGTTGGTGTGTGTGTTTAGTTTGTGTGTGTGGTAGGTATATGTATGTGTGGTCGGTGTGTGTGCGTGTGTGTGTATGTGTGGTTGGTATGTGTGTTTAGTTTGTGTGTGTATGTGTGGTTGGTATGTGTGTTTAGTTTGAGTGTGTGTGTATGTGTGGTTGGTGTGTGTGTTTAGTTTGTGTGTGTGTGTATGTGTGGTTGGTGTGTGTGCATGTGTGTGTGTGCATGTGTGGTTGGTGTGTGGGTTTAGTTTGTGTGTGTGGTAGGTATATGTATGTGTGGTTGGTGTGTGGGTTTAGTTTGTGTGTGTGTGGTAGGTATATGTATGTGTGGTGCATTTGTGCGCGCACGTGTGTGTGTATGTGTGTGTATGTGTGGTCGGTGTGTGTGCATGTGTATGTGTGGTCGGTGTGTGTGCTTAGTTTGGGTGTGTGTGGTTGGTGTGTGTGCGTGTATGTGTGGTTGGTGTGTGTGCGTGTGTATGTGTGTGGTTGGTGTGTGTGCATGTGTGGTAGGTATATGTATGTGTGGTGCATGTGTGTGTGTGTATGTGTGTGTGTGTGGTTGGTGTGTGTGCGCGTCAGAGAACTTTCAGGAGCCAGTTCTTTTCTTCTACCATGAGGGTCCCCAGGGATGTACCTCAGGTCTCAGACTTGGTGGCAGATGTCCTTATCCACTAAGCCATCTTGCTGGCCTCTTCTCTCATTTTTAATAAACTGTCCCTATTTTTATTATAACAAACCACCCAAACTCTATGCCAAACCAACTTTCCAAACAAGAGCAATCAGAGACAAAACAGCCCACATGGCAGCTAACTAAAATAAACACACGTGTCCTGTTGTAACGCTCTCGGTGACTCTGTCAGGACACCTGAAACATCATGTTCTGTTCTGATACCTGCAGTCTTGGCAACCTACAACCACCTGCCACGTGAGGAACAGAGAAGGGACACAGAGCACTACCCATTCCACATCTGTCCAAACCCGGCACAGGTGACAGAGCTTCCCGGTGGGCAAGCGTAACTCAGATTAGAACTCTTTTTCTGGGTCCCGAGGGCAGCTCCATTGGTTTGTGGCCCCACCCCTCTGCTGTCACACAGGAGACTCTGAGGGGGAAGTCTGTACCTCTCAGGCCTGTCAAGTTGCTAGGAGACTCTTACATGCTAGGCACACACTCTATCTCTGAGCTATGTCCACAGCCCTTGGCTTCTTCAGATGTGGTGAGCTGAAGTGGGGTTCTACTATGTAGTTCAGACTGGTCTCCAACTCCAAATCCTCCTGCCTCAGCCTCCCAACTGCTGAGATTACAGGTGGGACCAAGCCCTGCTTCCGCCCTGAGCACAACATAATCTGGGCGTGGGGTGCTCGCCTGTAATCCCCAGCACTGAGAGGAGGCAGTGGCATCAGAGGTTCAGGGTCATTTTGGCTAAACGGCTAGTGAGGAAGGACTGGGCTACTGAGGCTCTGTCTACAAATAAACACACACACACACACACACACACACACACACACTAAACAGCACAGACCCCAAACCCAAATCTAACTATTCCAGCTGAAGAAAGCTTACTGCAGACCCTGGGCGTGGAGGGACGGCACCCCAGCCATGCTGGCTCCTCACTTCTCACCATGCCCTTCCCGGGTGATTGTGCTAGGATTGTAGAGTCTCCGAGGAACACAGCTGGAAGAACACAATTGGCAGAGGCCCTATGGGAAAGGCGCCACAGCGGGCTCGTCCCTGGACTGCTACCTGGGAACACATGTCCTCTCTGGCCTCCTCTATAAAGAAGGTGTGAGGACCCACAAGTTCTAGCTGCTTACCTAGTAGCTTTTAAGAGCAAACAAGCCAGAACTGGAAAAAAAAAGCCTCACCTGTTCTCGTTGGGGAGCCAAGAAAGTTTCCTCTGGGAGAGACAAGAAACTCCTTTCAGGTCTTCCTGCCCTGTCACCTACTGAGCAGACTGTGTAAACATGCCTGTGTCACAGCCCAGCGCTACCCGTAAAGTATTGCAACGAAACGACATTAAGACTATTATCTCTCCTCAAATCACTCAGAATTTCACTCAAGTTCTGTCTTTGCCCGCTCACACTCGGTTCCTTCCACACGCAGCAGTTTACAGAAGGGATCTGTGCATGCATTTTCTTTCCTTACTTGCAATGCTGGAACCCAGGGCCTCCCAAGATTAGATAAGTACTCTACCACTGAGCACACCCCAGCCCCTCACTGGGGGATTCTAGGCAGGGGCTCCACCATTGAGCACACCCCAGCCCCTCACTGGGGGATTCTAGGCAGGGGCTCTACAACTGAGCACACCCCAGCCCCTCACTGGGGGATTCTAGGTGGGTACTCTACCACTGAATCACACCCCAGCCCCTCACTGGGGGATTCTAGGCAGGGGCTCTACTGATGAAATAGAACTACAATCCTTCCTTGCACAGAGCTCAGAAACTGTGTTCCCCTCTTCCTTTATCCTCCAAGATGACCTAGCTAAGGTGAACCACACCTTTCAGTTGCTCTTGGAATGAGAATGAGAGCCGGCAGTGGGATTATATCTACAGCCTGGTATCTGAGAGCAACAGACAAGAGCCTCCCAAGTTCAAAGCCAACCCTGACTTTCTATGACTCAAAAAACAAACTAACAAGCAAAAAACCCCACAAAGGCAGAGTGGGTGGCAGCAGAGTACCAGAGCAACCTAGCATGGGCAAGGCCTTGGGTCCACCCCCAGCACTGAAACCAACCACACAACACAAAGGCGAGAGATTCACCACTTACTTCCGGCTCTGGGCGGCTCTTCTTTCGGCAGAAGAACCCGAGATGTACTTGAACAGGGGGATCCTCCTCATGACACTGAAGGGGAACTTCTGATCAAGCTTCAGGGCTATGCGCTCAGAGAGGTCGAGGGAGTAGCAGTAGGTGAGGCCATCTGAGGTGAGTGTATTAAGTAAAATCGAAGGCACAGGCAGAGGCAGCTGACATGCCCTTTGAGGGCCCGCTCCTGGGAGGCACAGCTGTGTACACCAGTCCCTCAGAGAGCTGAGCAGTCCCATCCACGCACCTCACGGGAACAATGCCATGTGTAGTGTGCATGAGAGTTCACACGCACCTCCCGGGACTTCCAAACACGGCCGTCAGTCACAGCCATTCTTTTCTTTCCTTTTTGGCTTTTTGAGACAGGGGTCTCTATGTAGCTCTGTAGGCCAGGCTGATCTTGAAGTCAGAGATCCTCCTGCCTCTGCCTCCTGAGAGCTGGGATTAAAGGTGTGTGTCTACACCACTGCTACTACCATCGGCTCCGCCACCGCAGCTGGTTTACAAGTCAGTCTTAATACAATGCAGAGACTGGCACGGGTCTAGACTTCTGCTCCAAATCAAAGGTGCTCTGCCCCAGTGTGCCAAATGAACTTCATGTGGTTTGTTGTTGAGGAGGAAGATGTATGTAGCCTGGTCTGGTCTCGAACTTAAAACACCTCCCTCTGCCTCCTGAGTGCCGGGGTTATGGGGCATGCACCACATGGCAAGTTTCATTGCGGCTTCTCTGGAAGCATTTTCTCCATATAGTCCCCATCACTGTCTGCACAGCTACAAAGCCTGTTTCATACACCCTTCAGCAAATACTTATTACACAAATATTCTGTACGTGCGCACATGCACACGGGTGTAAGTGTACCACAGTGTGTGTGTGTGTGGGGGGGGGGGGGTTGGAATTCACCGCAAAGGCCCCAGGGCTGGAACTCAGGCTGTCAGGTTTGCCAGCCATCACTCACCCATCAGGACACCTTACTAGCTGCCCTTCAGCAAATATTAAGCCAACTAGTTTATGCCTGCATCAAGGGGTAAGTACAGGTTGAGCATTCCTTATCCAAAACAGTTTTGAGTGAAATATCTCAGGGCTTACGAGGTTATCTGAGTATCATGCAGATGCATGATAAAATCCATTTATGTTTCATGTGTACCTCACACAGCCTGAGGTGACTTTACACAGTATTCTGGGTGCATCCATGTTCTTACTTCGATTATAGTCAGGTCAGGGGCAGAATATCCCACTTGTGTCGTGTTATTGCTCAAAACACTGCAGATTTTGAAGCATTCTGGATCTCAGTATTCCTAATTAGGAAGCTCAATCCCTTATAAAAGCCAGATAAGGGTAATGTTGGCCAGTAGCTCAGTGGGGCCTTGACTAGGCTGATTTATCAGAGGGCCTACGTTGGATCCTCAGCCCTGTCTAAAATGGATGGTTTTGGTAATAATCAGGCGCTAACCCCTGATACTCCTGAAGCTGGAGGACTGACTTCCATCTTCCGGCTCAGTCAGCTCCAGGTCCAACTGCGCTCGCTTATACCCGATCAGAACTACAGAAGAGGCAAGCAGGCGTAGGGCACACACCCTACACCTTTAATCCCAGCACTTGGGAGGCGGAGACAGGCAGATTTCTGTGAGTTTGAGGCCAGCCTGATCTATATGGTTGAGTTCCAGGCCATCCAGGGCTGTACAGTGAGTCACCTTTTGAGGGCGGGGGAACATAAAGATGGCTTCATAGTTAAGAGTGCAATTGCTCTTCTAGAGGACCCAAGTTCAGTTCCCAGCATTGACACAACAGCTCACCACCACCTGTAACTCCAGTTCCTGGGGACTTGACAACCTCTTCTGCATCCTCAAGTGCCAGCATGTAGGCGCACACATCCACAGACAAAAATAAATCAAAAAATAAAGGGAGGGAGGGAGAGAGGGAGGGAGGGAGAGAGGGAGGGAGGGAGGAAGTGATATTCCTTAGAATATCACCTAGAAACTGATATTCGGGGTGTGGAACCAGGTGCGGTGGTGATAGTGATCCTAGCACTCAGGAAACTGAGGTGGATCTTGAGTTTGAGGCTAGCCTGGGCCACATAGCAAGACCCTGTTACAATCCCTCTCTCTCTCTGAGAAAAAAGAAAAGTAAGGGCTGGGATGTAGCACCGTGGTAGAGTGTCTGTCAATCACACACAATGCCCTGAGCTTGATACTCTAACCCAGAAAAAATAGAAAAACTATCCACAAGTCCAGGTCTGTCTCTTAACCAGTCCACGAACATCTCTGCGTGGCGGGCACCTCATGCTTCTCCGATGTGGGAGTGCCTGTGTGTGGAGATCAGAGGCCGGCCTGGTCTCCTCAGGAACTGGGGTTTCTCCATTGATCTGGAATTTACCAAGCTAGGCTTGGCTGGTGGGTCAGTGAGCCTTAGGGATTTTACCCGTCTCCACCTCTGAAGCCCGGGATCAGAGTGTAAGTCCCAAGGCCATGACTCGTGTCCTCATGCTTGCACGGATGCTTTACTGAGGAAGCCATCTCCCTGGCCCTCTTCCAGCGAAACTTCACACTCAAGTTAGTTGAGAAGGTTACACCTCAGTTTACAAGGGAAAAAAGGCAGGCCGGTATAGTTAAGCTTAAACTGCTAACCGGCTGCGTTGAGTTGACCTGGGCAGGCAACCATACTCAATTTTTCCAGATGAGTTCTGATCCAGGGATGGGGAGAACTGCCCAAGATTCCCAGGCTTTCCAAGCTGGGGCCAAACCCAGACTGCTTGTGTAGGAGCCTGCGACTGTGTACCTGACACCCCACGCCCCCAAATGAGTTTGCACCCCGGTGTAGCCTCACACTGTAGCTCCCTTCCAGGAAGGATACACGATAGGCCGATCAAAAGGCCAGAGACGTTGCTGAGGAAGGAGGTCTGAGGAATGAGCCAGGAGGCACAGAGCAGCAGCCACGGCACCAGGGCGGAGGGCACCACCACACCAAACACCAGGGCCCGCCTCATCCGAGAGCGGACTGAGGTGACTCCCAGCATGGCAAAAGCCACGGGGGTGAACCCTCTGGCATCCTCCACCTCACCCAACTTGGACAGCGATGACACCGACTCGAATGACAGGTAGATGATGGCGGAGGAGACGGTAAAGATGAAGGTGAAGAAGCAATGGCGGACAGTGCCCACAGTCCTCTCGAAGTTGCCAGCAAAGCGCCAGATGATGATGGCACCGCAGAGCAGGGAGACTGGGTTCTCATAGACGAAGATGTAGGTCACCAGCCTGTAAACTAAAGATGGGTTTGGGTTAACGGTCCGAAGTGGTGCTGTTCTGAGGGGCAACCAGGTCCCAAGCCAGCTTGGGGGGAGGAGGGGCTTGAAGTTGGAGCTGGAACCCAGTTGGTAGGGTGCTTGCCGAGTGTGCACCAAGTCCTGGGTTCCATTCCTAGCACCACATATGCCACACACAGGAAGTGGTGGTGCGCACCTAGGAGCCCAGCACTCAGGAAGTAGAGACAGGAAGATCAGGAGTTCAGGGTCATTCTGGCTCCTCTGTGAGTCTGAAGTCAGCATGGTCTACACGGGAGCCTGTCTCAACAATAAAACAAAAACAGAATAGGAAAGTGAGGGTAGTGCCCGCTGTTCAAGGCGTAAGCATATCATATAACCTCTGTTCCTTCTGGTCCTGGAGCCGGGCTTAGCAAGAGATATTCCCGTGATTCAAAACATGAACATATAATGTAGCTTCCGTTCTTTCCTGGCCCTGAAGCAAAGATTGTCAAGACCAACTTTGATGTGTGAAAAAGACGGCTTTTTCTGAACTTGTCAAATGCTTTATAACATTGCTTTAGGCTTTCTTTTAAAGACTTATTTTTATTTTTGTGAATCTGCATATGCCACCTGTGTGCAGGTACCTGTGGAGGTCAGTAGAGGGTGTTAGACCCCTGGAGCTGGAGGTACAGGCAGTTGTGAGCTGCCCCACATAGAGTGCTGGGAACCAAACTTGGCTCCTCTGCAAGAGCAGCAAGCTCTCTCTCTCTATTTTGATTTTTCAAGACAGGGTTTCTCTGTAGCTTTGGAGCCTGTCCTGGAACTAGCTTTGTAGACCAGGTTGGCCCTGAACACGCAGAGATCCGCCTGCCTCTGCCTCCCAAGTGCTGGGATTAAAGGCGTGCGCCACCACCGCTGGGCTGAAGCAAGCTCTCTGAACTGCTAAACCATCTCTCCAGCCCTCCGATTTTTGACTTTACTACTGACCTACCTCACTGGACAGTCTGAGGGTTAATTAATTGGAACAGCTTCAGGGATGACTGAGTGGGTGTCACTTAACAGTGTGTCTCCTCATCTGTGATTCTGGCCTCTCCTTCCAGAGGCTGTTCAGGTGAAGAAAAAAGGAATCATGAATTATTTTGTGGTGTAGAAGGACTATAACGGTATCATTAATAATATACAGAAATTAGAAGTCTTCGCTAAGAGTGCTGTTCAGCCAAGATTTATATGCTGTAAGATGCAACGTCCTTTTTTCTTTCTCTGTTGTGAGACAAGGTCTCACTATGCAGCTCTCGCTGGCCTATACCTTGCTATGTAGACCAGGCCGGCTCCTGTTTCCTGAGGGCTGGGATTATATGTGTAAGTCACTACACTTGGCCTTTTTTTTTTTTTTTTTTTTTTTTGCTGGCCAGCAACTCGCCATCTTTTTGTCTCAGCCTCTGAGTGCTGGGACTACAAGTGCCTGCCATCCTATTTGGTTTATTCCTTTTTTTTTTTTTCTAAACATAAGTCATCGCTAACATACATAATTTTTTAAAACTTAATCTTTTTTAAAATATTTATTTATTCACTTATTATGTATACAATATTCTGTCTACATGTATGCCTGCAGGCCAGAAGAGGGCACCAGACCTCATTATAGATGGTTGTGAGCCACCATGTGGTTGCCGGGAATTGAACTCAGGACCTTTGGAAGAGCAGGCAATGCTCTTAACCACTAAGCCATCTCTCCAGCCCAAAAACTTAGTCTTTTATTTATTTGTGGGTATATGGGAGTGCACGGAATGCCACGGCCTCCCCTGTGGCGTTCAGAGGAAAACCTGTAGTTCCACCAGGGACCAAACTGCAGTTCTCACGATTGGTGGCAAGTGCCCTTACCTGCAGAACTACCTTATAGAGCTCTAATGTACTTTCTTTGTTTATTTGAGAGAGGGACTCACTATGTAACCCTGGCTGGCCTCAAACTCACAGAGATCCACCTACCTGCCTCTGCCTGCCCAGGGCTGGGGTTAAAGCCACCACGCCTGGCTCTCTAATGTACTGACCTATCTCTTGGGGTGAAACTTTAACATGAGAGAGATGGATCAAACCACAGCGTCATTCTTAGGAGTGTTAAGACTTGGAGGGGAAGCCGGGCGGTGGTGCACACGCCTTTAATCCCAGCACTCGGGAGGCAGAGGCAGGCGGATCTCTGTGAGTTCGAGACCAGCCTGGTCTATAGAGCTAGTTCCAGGACAGGCTCCAAAAAAAAAAAAACACAGAGAAACCCTGTCTCAACCCCCCTCCCCCCCCAAAAAAAAGACTTGGAGGGGATCTTAGCTTTATCATAACCAGGCTGCCTGGGCTCAGTTGAGTCCAACGTCCATATCCTCACAGCTTGAATTTCCTCACTGTGATGGAACAGGTCAAACACGAGTCCTTCGAAGGTCCCATATCTCCATCTGTTCATGAACCCCACACCCACACAAACAGGTTAAGTAAGCATAGGATGTCTTTGTCCTGGTACTGAGATAGCTGAGGCAGGAGGATCATGGCCTTGAGGGCAGACTGGGTTACATGGCGAGTTTTGATTATTCTGGTCTAAAGAAATAGCAAACTCTGTGTCAAAGGAAAAAGAAAAGAAAGAGGGTATGTGCCTTATCTAGACTGGCTTTCAGCTCACTGAGCATGCTCCATGCATCCAGCGCAAACGGAAGTTTCAGCTTTAAGCATAACACCTAGCCAGACTATCTCCTGAAGCCTTATTTGCTGGATACTTCCCATATTGAAGTCTTGTTTTTCAAGACAGGGTTTCTCTGTGTAGTCCTGGTTGGCCTTGCTCTCACAGATTTGCCTGCCTCTGCCTCCCGAGTGCTGGGACTAAAGGCGTGCGCCACCACCCCACAGATCCCAAATTAAATGACTCACACATGTTTTTATCTATATAAGGACATGTGAATCATATACCCAAACCTTGGTTCTAAAACAACATACTAAAAGCAAAAGGCTGGGTTCCTTTCTCAATATTATGATGCATTAGCTCTGGGATTTTCTGTATCCAGCCTCAATTTCTGGTAAACACGCAATTTAATATGTCCTGTCATGATTACATGGATTACATGAGATGAGTGCACAGGCCTCTGTAACGTTGGGAGCAACCGGGATTTTCCAGGAAAGAATGAGAAAGAAACAAAGACTAGGAATCCTGTCTCCTAGAAAAGGATGATTACAGATTTAACTGGTCTGAGAAATTTCTCTCCCCTGGGCAAACAAGCACTTTACCAGGGGCGGAAGACGGCCTCTTTCCTCCTTCCGGTGAGCTGGAATTAAGAGTCAGGGTGAAGGTAAATACGCAGCAGAAAATTCTAGACTCAGGAGGAAAAATCATTCATAGGGGTGACAAGAGACGAAGTTCAACTGTCACGATGACGGTGAGAGACGTTTGTTTTGTTCCTGAGGGGCTCAGGCCTTCAGCAGATGGGGGTCTGTATATATAAAACTGGAGGAGCGAAGGAAGGTATTCATCCTCGACATCAAAGAATGAATGAATCTGGGGTGACATGCAGGGGCAATTTTGGGTAGGGAAGGAATTGTCGGAAATGATGATGAGGCTTGGGACAAGACATGCTGGAGTCCCAAGTGGGTTGAACAGTGATGGGCACGGAGGCTGGGGGCTGCCTGGCAGTGGGGGGGAGGGAATAGATGAAGTCCCCGGGCTGAGAAAGCGCGTCATCCTTGCCCAGTCGCTGCTCACCTTGCCAGTTGCGCAGGGCCTCGGAGCGCAGCGACAGCCCCGACGGTGCCAGAGGCGGCTGCAGCAGGAACAAGCGGGGCCCCGACACCAGCAGCGAGAGCAGGGCGGTGAAGAATGTGGCGGAGGGGACCTCGGGATACGAGCACCAGAAGCGACTCGCGGGTCCCGGGGCCGCCATGGCCGCCGGACCTTCCCGCGTGCCGCCTCGGCACTCACAGCCCGCCTCGGCAATTTCCGCCTCCCTGCGGCGGTCTCCCCTGGCAACAGTGAAAAGCTGGCCCTCGTTAAGCCCCGCCCCATGGAGAAAGGACCAATCTTGTGGGGCCATCCGCCATTACCGGCCCAAAGGAGGCCGGGAGTTGTAGTTTCAACGCGCCCTCTGCGGCTAACCAGACTACCTCCTCAGGAGTATTCTTGCCCAGGTTTCAGTTTCCTTCTACTCTCTCTCTCTTTTTACTTATTAATTTTTCTAAAGTTAATTACATCTGTTTATTTGTTTGAGTGTAGGCGAGGGGCACTGTGTGCCACACGTGTGGAGGACGGACGACAATTTAAGGGAGTTTTCTCCTACGGTCCTGGGCTTTGAATTTGGGTTATTAGGTTTAACAACAAGCACCTTTACCATCCGAGCCCTCTTGTTACTCCTTTTTATTTTTAGACGTTATTTGCTATTAATTTGTGAGAGAGTATGTGTAGGTGTATACACACGTACCTTTACTGTTGGGCATCTTGAAGACTCGTGTCGTCGTGTGGACTCTGGTCTTCCCATCTCAGTTTCCCTCCTTCCTTCCTTCTTCCCTCCGTCCCTCCGTCCCTCCCTCCCTCCCTCCCTCCCTTCTTTCCTTCCTTCCTTCCTTCTTTCCTTTCTTCTTTCTTTATTTCTTTGTCTTCCTTCTTTTCTTTTTCTTTTGTGACCCTGTGAGTTTCATTAAAATCGCGCTCAGGATCAGGGCTAAGGCTATTACAGAGCAGGGGCTCTTTATCAGTAGCTACACCACTGATGAAAATGTTTTCTCTTCCTCTTCCAGCAATCATTGACCCCCAGTAGTGTATGGAAAGGGATCCTGGTGGTCAGGAGTACCACAAAATCGTTGTAAACGCATCAGCTTACAGCCCTGCTTCAGGGAAAGGTTTCCCCAATGTAACAGCTCTGGCCCTGCAGGGGAGGGTTTCCCCAGCAAGGTTGTTACAGTCCTGCTCAGCTCTGCTCTGCTCCAGTGCCTGTGAAAAGTTACTTCTCTACTTCTCATCCAAACCTCATTCAAGAGATTTTTTTTTNTTTTTTTTTTTTTTTTTTTTTTTTTTTTTTTTTGAGACAGGGTTTCTCTGTGGCTTTCGAGCCTGTCATGGCACTAGCTCTGTAGACCAGGCTGGTCTCGAACTCACAGAGATCCACCTGCCTCACAAGAGATTTATTAGGAAGGAAGAATCTAAAGAATTCCACCTTTGCCATGGTGGAAAAGGCAGCAGCAACTGAACAGGCACAGGGCTTATATAGAACTTCTTAGGGGCCGCGTTTTCCCAGGGTGGAGATTTTTCAGGGTGGGAAATGGTCAGATTTCAATTCTCTTGAGCTTGGAAAAGCTCAGATTGGCTAGATTTCGTTCTCAGGGATTGGTTGGTTTCAAGCTCAGGTTGGTTTCATGGTCAGGGGCAGATTTTGTTTCTTTCATTGGCCCCTTTTAGCCGTTTGGCTCTGATTTGACTTTGGTTCTGGTTTTAGGGTCAGGGTGGGTTTCTTTCACTGGCTCTGGTTTCAGTCTGGGTAGGCTTCTTTGACTGGCTCTTTTACCCTACAAGTAGCTCCTCAGAGAGGGGGTGGGGCCTTGAGAGCCTCCCCCCATCCTGCTTTTAAAGACCAAATTATGTAGCCCAGGCTGACCTGGACTCACTCTGTAAACCAAAATGAGTCTGATCTCCACCTGGTTCTCTACCTCCAGTGTGCCAGGATTTTAGCCACACGTCACCTCCCCCAATTTATGCAGTACTGGGGCTTGAACCTAGGGGCTCGATCTAACTGAACTGAATTGCATTCTCAGTCCGATCAGCTGTAATGACTGTGACGTCTGCTGGTTCGTAGAGCCCTGGTCTCTCCCACACACACCACTTGTGTTTGACTCTGTTATGCCAAAGGGGAAACTGAGTCTTGGAAGGTCCCTGCATGACACAATGGAGTAGTAAAGAGAGGATTAAAATTTGAGTTCTGCCACCTGAATTGGCCAAGAAGACAGTGAAGGCACCTTCTGGAGCTCAATGGTGGATGGATGAGGATGTGGGGAAGGGACTCAAGAATTAGGCATATTCCATGATGCCTTACTGAGATCTGCTTTAGCCGTCTACAGTTAGAACAGTACTTCCAGTAGACAACTGGAATATCCTTTCTGAGCTATGTGTGCTTTAATAGGTGGGGTCACTTCCCAGTGAAGTCACTGCTGGGAAGAGAGAGAGCTGGGAATTGAATCCCAAGTTTGCTGGGTTCCAGGGGCAACTTCAGATATTTCTTTCCAATAAGTTTTTTTGGTTTTTTTTTTTGGGGGGGCAGTTCTGGGCAATGAGCGTACAGCCTCATGCATGAGTGATAAGTGCTCTACCACTGAGCTACAGCCCCATCTCTTCTTCCCCGATTTTGTATACGCATTAATAGACTCCTAAATCCCAGCACTCAAGAGACACAGGCAGGCAGATCTATGTGAGTTCGACGCCAACCTGGTTTATAGAGAGAGTTCCAGGACAGCCAAGACGACACAGAAAAACCCTGTCTCGAAAAACAAACAAAAAAGACTCCTGAAAAATAAGCAGATGTAATCAAGAAACCGTTTATTTGATAAGCCCAATGAATCCAGCCCCCAAAGAAACAATAGCATTGCTTACATAACATCTACCACAAGGGGGGAGCAATGATTACAGAGCCATGATAGGAATAATGAGAGAGATTGGTCTTAAAAAAAAAAAAAAGATAGAACTCCAGGACTGAGGTGCCAAGCCTGGGGAACTGAGTCTGACCCCTGGCCCCAGGGGGTAGAGGGAGAAACCAGAGAGCTGACTTCTGCAGGTTGTTCTCTGACCTCCACTCGAGCACCCACACACATAGACACAAGTAAATAAACGAGCATAACAAAATGGAAAACCAAAAGGGGGCGGAGGACAGGCATGGTCTTTCAACACAAACCACAGCTCTCATTTCAAAGAGTCTATTCTTGAGCCAAATATAGAAATGGTTTCATCAAATTTTAAGAGCTATGGAACAACAAAAAAGGTCATAAATCAAAACTATTTTTAAAAAGATACATTGTGACCATCAGGGTCATAGATATTAAGAGTGGGTACTATTTCTGCAGAGGGCCTGCTTTCTGTTCCAGCACTCACATAGGGTGGCTCACACTGCCTGTAATTTTCAGTTTCTGACCTTCACAGGCCCCTGCACTCAAGTACACACACACACACACACACACACACTGACATGCACGCATATTCACATGTACATGATTAAGTAAAATAAAAATCTAACAAAAATGGAAGAATAGTGAGACGCCTCAGTGGGTTAGGGGCTTGCTGGCAAGCTTGACAGCTAGAGTTCGTGATGTGGGAGTGTCATATATCAATCTGTTGATTTCATTGGTTAAGTTATAATAAACCAACTGCTTGGCCTCAGCTTGGAACATAGATGGGAGGAGTAAACAGAATAGAATTCTGGGCGGAAGAGGAAGTGAGGTCAGACTCTGCTCTGCTTCCGGGGAGAGAGCCGACAGCTCGGGAGCACAGACGCCATGCTCAGCTCTCCCGGGTAGACGCGATAGCTCTGCTCTCTGAGGCACATGCGATGAAGATGGATGGAGGCTAGACTCTTCCCGGTAAGCGCACCTTGGGGTGCTTACACACATTATTAGAAATGGGCTAGTCCAGGTGCGAGAATTAGCCTGTAAGGGCTAGAGTTCATGGGCCAAGCAGTTCTTTAAATGAATACAGTTTGTGTGTTGTTATTTCGGGCATGAGCTAGCCAAGTGGCTGGGTGTTGGGGACGCAGCCCCGCCGCTCCTTATTTCAACAAGTTCGATCCCTGAGCCCCTTCTGATGGAAGAGAACCAACTCCCTCAGACTATCCCTGGACATCTACATGAGTTCGCAAACAAGTACAAAGTGGCTAAAAATAAGAAGAGAAAGAACCGGAAGACAGTCCCGAGGGTGGACATGGGCTAGTGAGCAGCGACAAGATCTTCTCTGACGGCGGACACCGTGTCTACAGGCCTCTCCCGTTCGTACATCCCGGGGGTCTCTGTGGATGCCCCGTTAGCTAGGTGAAGCCCAGGTGAGCACAGTTGTAGTCTTCCTCTTTCATACATTTATTTATTTATTTATTTATTTAGTTAGTTAGTTAGTTTTCATTTGCTGGGTGGGACAGCGGTGGGGACTCATGGAGCACGTGGGAGTCGGTGGATAACTTGAGGTGGTCGGTTCTCGGGTCTCAGGGATGGAACTCAGGTCAGCAGGTTTGATGGCAAGCTCCTTTACACCCTGCGGCATCCCGCCTGCCCTCATATGTTAATCCTGTGCTCTCTCCCTACTCTCTCCTGACGCATGTTCATGCTCCATCTTCAGTCTGGAGGACAGCCTTGAGGAAAGTCTGTTCGTGTTGGCTTTGCATCATTTCTCCCAACAAAACACCATGTCTCCACACAGAGGCAAGTACCCCGTGCTCAGGTGGCGCCAGCAAAGGAATCAGATGTAATATGAAGGCAGGCATCCTATCTTGGTCTCTAATGAGACATCTGCACACCTGAGACATCTGTTGTCACTTAAACATCTGTACTGTGACGTGAGACAGGTGTCACCTACTGCAAAGCTGGTGGGCCTACACTCCTCCTACACTTCTTACTTTCACTTTTTTTTTTTTTTTTTTTTTTTTTTTTTTGAGACAGAACCTCTCTGTCCTGGAACTCGCTCTGTAGACCAGGCTGGCCTGCCACTGCCTCCCAAACGCTGGGATTACCGGTGTGTGCCACCACTGCCCAACTGTTCCTTACTTTTCTTTTTCTTTTTTTTCTTTTTTTTGGTTTTTTTGAGACAGGGTTTCTCTGTGGCTTTCGAGCCTGTCCTGGCACTAGCTCTGCAGACCAGGCTGGTCTCGAACTCACAGAGATCCGCCTGCCTCTGCCTCCCGAGTGCTGGGATTAAAGGCGTGCGCCACCATCACCCGGCCCTTACTTTTCTTGATTCTGCGACAGTAACAACTTAAGGCGGACGGTTTGTTCCAGCCCAG